GAATGTGATGATCCAATTGATAAATTTCCCCGGCAAGCCATATTTCCATAAGACTGACCACAGGTAGTGACGATCAACTCGATCAAAAGCCTTGGACTGATCAATGGCCAGGAGGTACTTCCCCCACCCCTCAGCCCAGCACTTCATGAGGGCTTCCCTGACCTCAAAAAACATCATCAAAGACAGTTCTTCCCCCAACGGTGCAGTACTGCGACGTGTATAAGATGTCCCTCGCCGGGCCCTGCATTCTTTTTAATAAAATCTTTGCCAGGACCTTCCTGTCGACATTTAGCAAGGATATGGGTCGCCAGTTCCCCACATCCGCCTTGTCGACCACGTTAGGCTTGGTTAACAAGATCAGTGCAGAAGTCCTCATCGAGGGGGGTAATAATCCTCGAGCTAGGCTCTCATTACACACCTCTGTCAAGTGAGGGGCCAGGAGAGCGCTGAACTGCTGGTAAAATTCCACCGTCAGCCCGTCATGGGGACAGTCCACCCACCTGTCCAGATACCGTCTTCACCAAGGATATTACTTGGAGCAGCCTTAACCTCCCCAAAGCATTTTGCCCAAACCAGAATTTCAGCTATTGGTATTGTCTCGTTCCTCACTAAAAACGTGACCTTTTTTAACCCCTCCCTGGTTCCTGAGTAGGGGGGTTCCCTGTTGGCAATACAGTGTCAGGGGTCTGACCTCTCAAGGGAGCATCAGGAACATTAAGACACCACACATCCTCCTTCTGGCTGACACCCTGGGTTTTCTGGCGCTGACCATCTTTCAAAGCTCTGGCATTCGAAGTTGAAGTTCCCTCCTCCACCTCCTACTCCAGGCTAGAGCCAACTTTTTTTATTTGTGGAGACGAATTTTCCAAACCGATATACTCCTCGAAGAAATCGGACATACACCCTTACAACTGGACTACTGGATCAAATTGTTTGAACCTTGAGGAACTCCAATAACGTGAGTGATTGAACTATGTTACATATGTCCGTTTAGGACACTTTTTTACAAGATAATCCTCAAATCCTTTTGAAGATAAAGGAAAGTGATTCGGTGTCCAAGGGATTTGTAGTCCTATACAGTGACAACTCGTCCCTAAAACGACCACTTATCTCTCCCGTTTTCCTTAAACAAAGGAACAGTTACACGTTTGATTAATCCTAAGTGGTCACAGTTCATGATTTATGAACAGAAGGAATTAATGATTCACGCGGCCAAAGTGCCGGTGACACTAATATCGGATACAAAGGAATTTTCGAGTGTCAAAAGGATCTTAAAGAGGGGGAAAAAAAATCTGTGATCAAACCAAAGAAAAGCACACTCTTTAAACTGAGAACGAGACTTCCCCACTGGTAAACAGTGCACAATACAGGGTTGTCCTACCGGGAACCCAGTTGGAAGACAACAGGCAGAAATACCTAACATTATCTCTTTGTATCAGAGGGTCTTTAGGGTAAATTGTTTACGAGGATCGATCCGCAATTATTTATGTATGTCTGTAACCTAAGAGTTTTTTAATGGTGAGAGATGGTCTGAAGGTGTTATCTTTATTGTATGTTGTTTCTATGAATTTTTCCAATAAATTTAATTTTTTTGCATATTAGCTGCTTGTCCGGATCCCTCAGTTGACCGCTACTGACTTGTTACCTTTTAACGAGTTAACCCCCTTCGTTTCCTTAGAGCCAACTTCCACCTCTATCGCCCTCATCTGTTCCAAAAACTTCTGTCGCCGCTCTCTGGCCCTCACTTTAGGCAGGCCCGTAGCTCTTCTTTGTAGAATGGATTGCACCTCTGTAATTTTCGATTCTACCTCATCAATATTGTAAAGCACATCCTGCTCTTCTTGCTTCTTGTGGATAATTTCCTCTCTGATAGGTGCTCTTTTCAAACTGGTAGTTTTGTTTGACATTGCTCTCAACTTCTTCAGTCGATTTTGGAGCTGGCACAACATTTTATCCTATTTGTCATGCTTTCCTTTTAAATCCTTAAGAGCCTCTAGGAGCTTCTCAGTGGGCGTCTCCTGGAAAGCCCGCAGCTCCACTCCTCTTCCTTTCACCACTCCAGTATAGGAATGGGACATCATTCCGGAACCTGCACCACCAGGTGGCGTATCGGGGATCATATCCGGCGAACCCTCTCTGGAGTCACGCAGCAGCGGAGGGGACTGTTCCAGGCATAGGCGACCCACCTGCAGGAGTTCCCTGCACTCAAGCAGCATCGCAGAGAGCAGCAAAATCTTCTCTGTAGGCACTGCATGGGGCCGCCCCACACCCTTCTTCCACTCTCTGATCTTTCCGTCCATACCTCCTTCCAATTCCTTGAACAGGATCACCTGTTCGCGGATTCTCCTGGACAGGACCTGTTGCTCAGCCCAGGACAGGTCCTTCCTTAAGGGTCTGCCGTCCCCGAAAACCAGCACGGCAGAAAGGGCATCGAGCCGGGCCTTCCATCTCCAAGCTGGGGAGGGAGGCCGACCCTCCATAGTGGACCTAAGTCAGGCCAAGGAGTGGGAAAGTCTCCCCCAGTGACTGAAGCCGCAGAGAGACCAGGAATAGCTCTTTCTCCTCTGACAGCAACTGAATTACTGTGGCTGCTGGCACCAGACTTGCCCTCCAATAGATCCTTGTTAAAGGATTTAAAGTGTACTCATACCAATTACAGGGCCTCGAAAGAGTCCTGTTTTGTTATTTTTCATCACTACCTCCCCGAGTTGGGAGTGGGTAATTTGCGCGCCTGCTGCCTTCCTTGTGGTAGCCGTTTCTCAGGCTCCCTCTCCGGAATCGAACCCTGATTCCCCATTACCCGAGGTCACCATGGTAGGCACAGAAGGTACCATTGAAGGTTGATAGGTCGAGGCCCCCGGATTGGTTTTGGTCTGATAAATGCACGCATCACTGGGAGTCAGCGCTCGACGGCATGTATTAGCTCTAGAATTACCACAGTTATCCAAGTAACAGATGGAGCGATCAAAGGAACCATAACTGATTTAGTGAGCCATTTGCAGTTTCACTGTACCGACCGTGTGTACTTACACATGCATGGCTTAATCTTTGAGACAAGCATATGCTACTGGCAGGATCAACCAGTTAGGGGGTGGCGAGATCCGCCCAGCTGCGTGAGTGACAGCTGGCTCTGCCTATCTAGAGGCAGAGTCAGCTGTACCCGCCCCCTCCTCGTCCGTTCCGCCAGTCAGCGCTGGTGGATCGGAGCGGGGAGGGGGGAATCCATCCCCTCGCCTGTCACGGCAGAGAGCCGTGACAGGATCGAGAAGTGAGCGAACACCGGCATGTGTTCGCTCACCTCCCGATCTACTGAGCCGACCTGTGACAGTCTCATTGTCACAGGTCGGCTAGAACTATGAGGTGAGTGAAAAGCACTCACCTCATAGTTCTCCTTTAACTAATGTAGAAACAAGATTCTTGAAAATATGAGGATTCCTCAGGAGAAGTATTTTCTGGAGAGAATGAAAACCCTGGGGAGAAATAAGAGGAGAAATGAGGCACTCTCTAGGGAATAGGACTATACAATTAACAGAGCACCTATAGATGGGCTAGTAACATTAAATAGACAGGTAAATTGGGGGAGTTCCTAGCAAAAGTTAGACTTTTAACAGTGTTACTAATACGTAGTGCTATGTATCAGAGTGTGACACCTTTACTTACCTTTATTTGTAAATGAAGTCCATTCGCCTATCCTTCTGGACAAAGATGTCAGTGACTGCGTTGTAGAAGTCTTCTTTACTTTCTTGTAGTTTTGAGAATCTTTCTGTCTCAATAGAGATGATTGCCAGGGATGAAAGTCGTCCTTCGTCAGACCTATTCCGACGTTTTTTTAAGTCGTTTTAAAGCAGAGAACCACCTTTCAACAGACGCTGTTGTAGCTGGTATAGTGAGCACCAACTGGAGCAACTTTGTCGCCTCTGGAACCGTCTGCGTCAGATCATTTTGGACTAAAAAGCGGAGGAGCTGCTCAGGCGATTTGCATTTGTCCCTCACCTCTTGTGAACCATACAGTCCGATAAGATCAGCCTTTAACCTCACAAAGTCAAAATGCCTGGCATATGTTGATAGGCTCTGCAGTTTTGTGTCATCGAAGTGTTGTGACATTTCACTAAATTTTGTGCAATCGACAAAACCGATGAAGGCTAGCTCCCCAAATTGATCAAACCTGGCTTTCATCTGAAGACTAATATTGTCCCGGATGTTATAAAACGTTCTTTTCCTCTAATCTCTGCTTGGCTCTTTACTTCGGTCTTTGTCTTGCAATCCAAGTGTGGTGCATTTCTGTTGGAACCGATCGTAGAAATTGTCAAACTCTTGTCTCTGGCGTTCCACAAATTCGCACGCAGAAGAATCCTATGTCAATTACATTGTTCTGCAGCACACGAAACAGTGCATCAGTTTCATGGAAAATGCACTCGTATGCCATTATCAGGAAGCAGGTTGATGCTTTTGACAGCCAGAGATCATATCCAACGGCCATCATCCGAGTCTCATTATCCCAAACATCAGAATTTTCACTCATAGTGTGGAACATAGTACTTAGATCAGATTGGCACATGCTGATTGCCTGAACTAGCATGGAATTGGAGTTCCATCTTGTTTGCGCTGCTCTTGGTAAATGTCCCTCAACCGTTTTAAAAAATACTTTACACTGAGGCATACATTGTGCTGAATGCATTAGTACCAGGTTCAATTTGTGTGCATAGCAATGGATAAAAGTGGCTTCGGGTACCATCTCTTTAATTTTGGCCTGCACCCCATTGAGATCTGATGCCATCACAGAGGCTCCATCGTAAGTCTGAGATACCAGCTTATCAGCACTTGTACTTCTTCAACACTCCGAACACATAATCGGCAAAAGCTGGTGCTTGTCTGTCACTCACATCATCAAATCCCAAAAATGCCTCCTTCACCTCACAAGTCGCCTCACTTGTAGCTACATAGGGCATGATCACAGAGAACTGGGCTTTGTTTGTGATATCTGTTGTCTCATCTACTTCGACTGCTACAAAGGGGGCTGCATTAATCTCCTTATTGATGTCGTTTCTAATGACATCAGCGACCTCTTCAATTAAATAGTTCTGTATTCTGCTTGATAAGCCAGAAAACACAGTGGATGTCTCCAAATGTTTCGCCAACCTCTCATCCATCTCAGCAAATGCATGTAACAGCTCCACATAATTGCCACGATTCAAAGAACTTGGACTTTCATTGTTACCACGAAACGCCAATTCCTTTTTGGCTAGGAAGCAGGTTGCATTAATGAAGCGTTTTAAAATCTCACGGTTTTCTTTGACCTTAGCATTGTGGATGCTGATATTTAATGTCCGCTGTTGAACCAAAGCCAAATCTATCCTTGAAGAAATATATCCCTCCGAAATTTTTTAAAGCGCTTCGGCTTTGAATGTGAGTTGCTGATTTTTCATGCTTGTTGTAGCCCCTTGATAGATTATTCAAATCACAAAATCCTGTGTTAGTCCAAACATTGTCTGTAGTGCAGAACAGAAGACAGGGAAAGCAGTAAAGACGGTTTTTGGTAGCACAGCCACACAGCCAGTCTTTTCGCTGGTACCACTCCATTTGAAATGACCGTGTTACTTTCCACTGTCCCTTCGATTGAAGTAGGTCCGTATTCGTAAGCACAGGCATTGGTCGACCGTTATTTATCACTCTCTGTTTTGATTGAAAGTCCAGTCTTGAGAAATTTCTATGGTTTGGTACAGTGCTTTCCATCTTTGCAGCCAGGACACTGTAAGACCGCATGTGGGTCTGTGCACTAAGTAGCGACGGGCAGTGGAAGTGGGAGGGCTCACACTTTTTAGTGCACCCGGTACCTACGGAAAGGCCGCGCGCCCACGTGGTGGCGGGCCTGCTCCGGCGACCCCTCCCCGCTGTCGCTCAGGGTGCCCCAACAGTCTGACCGGGGGTTGGCAAGGGTGAAACATTGGCGCGGCGTCGGCACGGAGGCTCCTATTACCTCAAAGGAAGGCTGCCAATAATTTGTATTGATTAGCCGATGCCCTAAAAAATTGATCCAGAATTATTTGTCATCTACACCAACCCAATTTAAGGCCCAATTCCATCTTTTGTGAGCTTACCACCACCACCTCCCCCTGTGGCTCCCCTGTCCTTTTTTTCGAATAATCACTTTCTTTTCTGCAGCCTTCTAGCTGTGCCAGTGACTTCACTGGTCCCTCTTCTAGTGGTGGTGGATATCCTTACTCCTAAACATCAAGGCACTGACAAAATGTCATGTAAGTGCTGCACTGTTCAGCAATACAGTGAGCCCTATGACAGCTAGGACTCACAAGAAGTGGATTCATACCCTTTGGCATCATATAACCCAGAAGAGGACTGGTGGTGGATTCCAGAGATGTGAGTGTGCAGGAGAGGTGATAAGTACTGCAGAGGCAGCTGCCTTTTTTCATACATACTACATGACATTTTAATATGAAGTTTGGCATTGAGGTCATTAGGAGTCAGCAGACGATGTGCTGTGTCTGTGCCCAGGCCACCACTAAGGGCTATAAAGTGCTCTCCTGTTTTTGAATTATTCCACATGTACATGACTGTAAGGGTGATGATACATTTATTTTCTAAATCACAAATAAATACACATTTCTATGGAACAGGTAAATAGTGCTAAGTGGAATCCTTCTTTAAAATATAATGTGATACTAACCTGAGCTATGCAGATGTCTAACTGATGCTGCTGTGGGTGTTTTCTACAATGATGACTGATATGACAGTTAAGATAAAAAATGTTTTGTTTGACTTGGAGCGATGAACAAGATGTCCGATTTCAAGTTGTAGGAATGTAAAACATATGAAATAAATTCATGATTGAAACACATCTGCTACATTATATGACATTGCTATAGGAGCTCTTCCGACAAAACACCTCATAAGGAATAAACTGTGTTTTTATAATTTATGTTTATGTTTTGTGTCTTATACATTGAATAAAAAATATACCGCTCAATAATACTTCAAACTATAGCTGAAATAGTAGACTGCCTTTAACATCATCCTGCCTTTGCGTTTTGTAGACACAAGAAGTTATTTCTACCTAAACAATTTTATTACCTTTTCAGTAAAAGTAAACAAAGACAAACAGTTTGAATTTTTTCTTCCTATTTTGGCTTCATATCTCAGCTGCATTCCCTGCAAGAAATGATCACTAGTAATATGGTTCTGTCAGTGATCAGACAGATGGCGCTGCTCTAAGTACACAAAGTAGCCATCACTCTCTAACCAAAGGCTTACAATTTATAGCAGAACTCCAGGGGAAATCATTATTAACCCTTGCAGTGGGGCTACCCCTCACTGCAAGAGTTATATGCTCATTTTGGTCTAGGGAGGAAAATAGCGAAGCTATATTAACCCGATGCAGCCGTGACACCTTTCCCTGCAGCTTCTCTCTTCCTACACTGCAGCAATGGAATGTACCTAGGTGTCCTCACATTCTATATGCTGTGTAAGGAATGTGATGATTTACAG